CTGAAGGCAGACTGAGGCTGAGGCTGAAGCAGGCTGAGGCTGAGGCTGAGGCAGGCTGAGGCTGAGGCTGAGGCAGGCTGATGCTGAGGCAGGCTGAGGCTGAGGCTGAGGCTGATGCAGGCTGAGGCTGAGGCAGGCTGAGGCTGAGGCCGAGGCTGAAGGCAGACTGAGGCTGAGGCTGAAGCAGGCTGAGGCTGAGGCTGAGGCAGGCTGAGGCTGAGGCAGGCTGAGGCTGAGGCTGAGGCAGGCTGAGGCTGAGGCTGTGACTGCGACTGCCGTTGCCGCTGCGACTGTCATCGCGAATGCGACTACGACTGCGAGAACAGCAGAATTCTACAACTGGATTTTCATCTGAATCTGAAGGGGAATGCTTTCAGATATGCTTCTACACATCGCTGTTAGGTTGCTTTGCCGGGATAATTTGTTACCTAACAGCTCTTGCTGATAGGTTTCTAGTGGTCTCAAAAGAGAGCATCATGACTCCTCAGGGGGGTCTGGGCGGGACCCGGACAGGCTGCCGCCGCGGCTGCCGCCGCACTCGTTTTTCGCAAACAGTCACACACTTCGTGCTCTTCGACCTCCCAGAACTCCATTCCCGGGCCACATTCTGAATGCCCGGAGCCAACTGTAGGCCACTTCGTGCTCTTCGAGTTCCCAGAACTCCATTCCCGGCCACATTTTGAATGCCCGGAGCCAACTGTAGGCCACTTCGTGCTCTTCGATTTCCCAGAACTCTCCATTCCCGGGCCACATTTTGGATGCCCGGAGCCAACTGTAGGCCACTTCGTGCTCTTCAAGTTCCCAGAACTCCATTCCTGGGCATGATTTTGAATGCCCGGAGCCAACTGTAGGCCACTTCGTGTTCTTCTAGTTCCCAGAACTCCATTCCTGGGCCACATTTTGAATGCTGAGGCAGGCTGATGCTGCGGCCGAGGCAGGCTGAGGCTGAGGCAGGCTGAGGCTGAGGCCGAGGCTGGAAGGCAGACTGAGGCTGAGGCTGAAGCAGACTGAGGCTGAGGCTGAGGCAGGCTGAGGCTGAGGCTGAGGCAGGCTGATGCTGAGGCAGGCTGAGGCTGAGGCTGATGCAGGCTGAGGCTGAGGCAGGCTGAGGCTGAGGCCGAGGCTGAAGGCAGACTGAGCTGAGGCTGAAGCAGGCTGAGGCTGAGGCTGGGGCAGGCTGAGGCTGAGGCAGGCTGAGGCTGAGGCTGAGGCAGGCTGAGGCTGAGGCTGGACTGCGACTGCCGTTGCCGCTGCGACTGTCATCGCGAATGCGACTACGACTGCGAGAACAGCAGAATTCTACAACTGGATTTTCATCTGAATCTGAAGGGGAATGCTTTCAGATATGCTTCTACACATCGCTGTTAGGTTGCTTTGCCGGGATAATTTTTGACAGGATGGTGGGGGAGGCCGCATCGGGTTCGCTGCGCATGCCCCGAATTTGGAGGCAGAGTGTGTGTTTGTATGGTTTTTACCTAACAGCTCTTGCTGATAGGTTTCTAGTGGTCTCAAAAGAGAGCATCATGACTCCTCAGGGGGGTCTGGGCGGGACCCGGACAGGCTGCCGCCGAAGCCGAAATCGCTTGGGACATCCTCGCAAAATCGCTCTTGGTGCTCCCAGAACTCCATTCCCGGGCCACATTTTGGATGCCCGGAGCCAACTGTAGGCCACTTCGTGCTCTTCGACTTCCCAGAACTCCATTCCCGGGCCACATTTTGGATGCCCGGAGCCAACTGTAGGCCACTTCGTGCTCTTCGAGTTCCCAGAACTCCATTCCCGGGCCACATTTTGGATGCCCGGAGCCAACTGTAGGCCACTTCGTGCTCTTCAAGTTCCCAGAACTCCATTCCTGGGCATGATTTTGAATGCCCGGAGCCAACTGTAGGCCACTTCGTGTTCTTCTAGTTCCCAGAACTCCATTCCTGGGCCACATTTTGAATGCTGAGGCAGGCTGATGCTGCGGCCGAGGCAGGCGAGGCTGAGGCAGGCTGAGGCGAGGCTGAAGGCAGACTGAGGCTGGGCGAAGCAGACTGAGGCTGAGGCAGAGGCTGAAGGCTGAGGCCTGAAGGGCTGAGCTGAGGCAGGCTGAGCTGAGGCTGAGGCTGAGGCTGAAGGCTGAGGCTGAGGCAGGCTGAGGCTGAGGCTGAGGCAAGGCAGACTGATGCTGAGGCTGAAGCAGGCTGAGGCTGAGGCTGAGGCAGGCTGAGGAGGCTGAGGCTGAGGCTGAGGCAGGCTGAGGCTGAGGCTGTGACTGCACTGCCGTTGCCGCTGCGACTGTCATCGCGAATGCGACTACGACTGCGAGAACAGCAGAATTCTACAACTGGATGTTCATCTGAATCTTAAGGGGAATGCTTTCAGATATGCTTCTACACATCGCTGTTAGGTTGCTTTGCCGGGATAATTTACAAGGGATGGTGGGGGGGTACCCGCATTGTCCCCGCCTCCGCTGCCGAATCGCCGCCGCCGCCGCCGTAATTAGTCGCTGCCGCCGCAGCCGCTGCCGCCACCGCTGCCGCCGCCGCCGCCGCCACTGCCGTCGCTGCCGCCGCCGCCGCCGCCGCCCCCGCCGCCGCCGCCACCGCCGCCGCCACCGCCGCAGCCGCCGCAACCGCTGCCCCCGCCGCAGCCGCCGCAGCCGCCGCCACCGCCGCCGCCAAATGTATTTTGTTTTTTTTTTGACGGGAACGGTGGAGGGAGGCCGCATCGGGTTCGTTGCGCATGCTCCGAATTTGGAGGCATATTGCGTGTTTGTTTTGTTTTTTGCATGGCATGGTGGGGGGGGTGCCCGCATTGACCCTGGTTGGCTCCCAGTCGCCTGGGGGTGGGGGTGTACATTAATAGGGAACAGTGATCAAGCTACCCACCCGCCCGCAAAACGTTTTGCTCATCCCACCCGCCTCCCAACACAAAAGTAGCACCCGGGTGTCAGCATATCGCGTAATAGCGCCGCAGAAGCCACGGGTCCCAGATGCACCAGACACCCTGGAGGCTCAAGCGTGCCATGCGCGCCAGGTGCGGCACGTTCCCCACGTGCGCTCAGTGTTCCACGCGCTCCAGCCGCGCCAGGTTCGCCGGCCACTAGGATTCAATCGGGGCTCCACTTGCGTGCGCCGCACCTGTTGCTACGCCAGCAACTGCGCACGCCCCACCGCATGCTTGTGGCTGCTGGCGACCGCGCGCGGACCCGCCCTCACGCATAAGAGCAAAACGTGCGAGAAGGCACGTGGCCTGACACGCCAACCAACCGGTGTGCACCGCACCATCCTCGTCGAAACGCAATGCAAAGTGCACGCCAGGGCATTCACACTCCCGCTGTGCTGGTTGTAGGTTCCACTGTGACAAGGAAGCTCCGCGGCTCCGCGCGTCGCGCGCGGCCAGGCGACGCGCCCATTGCAGAGGTTTCGGGGATCGGGGCGCTTCTAGGCACTGCAGACGCTGCAGCAGCTTCGCCGGGAACCGAGGTTTCCAAAACCCATCGGAAACGAAAAGGCGAGAAGGCCGTAGCCATTGATTTGCCAGACCAGTCAGTCGACCACCTGCGTCCAGAAGCCAGGTGGGATCTGCTGGCACCCCAGCCGTCTTTGTAAGATACCAATGCAAAGTGGTCGCGGGGCGGCCGCGCATGCTCTAAATGTGCAGGCTCCAAATGTGGATTTTTGTTGACAGCGATGGTGTGCGTGTGTGTGTGTGTGTGTGTGTGTATGTGTGGTCATGGGGTCATCATTGTTCCGGGTTGGTGCCAGCCGGGTGGGGGGAGGGGGTGTATATCAATAGGGAACAGTGATAGACCCCTCCCCGAAGGGGAAGAAAGGGGTTGGAAGAGAAGGCTCTCTAGGCCATCTACGCCCGGAGGCACTCGGGACCGCGGACAGAGAACTCCAAGAGACCGGATGACACTCCAATTCGCGCCTCACGGCACGGTGGCGAATAGGTCTCGTCAAACGAGGGGGTTCGGCCTGGAGGGTGTCTCCGAAGGGCTTAGCGACCCGTCCTCCTCCTCCTCCTCCTCCTCCTCCTCCTCCTCCTCCTACTACTCCTCCCTCCTCCTCCTCCTCAGTCCTCCTCCTCCTCCTCCTCCTCCTCCCTCCTCCTCCCCCTCCCCCTCCTCCTCTTTCTTCTCCTCCTCCTCCTCCTCCTCTTCCTCCTCCTCCTCCTCCTCCTCTCCCCCCTCTGTGACTCTTCGTTTTTCGTTTTTCCCCTTTGCCGTGGATGTTAAAGAAGTCCCCTTCCTGTTCCTCCTCCTCCTCCTCCTTCTCCTTGGGTCGCCTACTGCCCCGGGGGAACCCGTGCACCTCTGTCCTGACCACCTCTGGAAACCTCTTGCAGCTCGCCCGAGAGCATGCGCGCGCTCCTGGGGCGGCTGCCTGGCGGGGAGCGCGTCCAGGGCATCGAGGCCGCCCTGTCCCCAGCGCCCGACGACCCGCAGGACGACGACGAGTCGAAGAAGAAACACCGGCACAGACATAAACAGCTGGAGGTGGAGGGTTTCTCCGAAGGGCTTAGGCGACCCGTCCTCCCCTCCTTCCTCCTTCCTCCTCCTCCTCCTCCTCCTCCTCCTCCTCCTCCTCCTCCTCCTCATCCTCATCCTCATCCTCATCCTCATCCTCCTCCGCCTCCTCCTCCTCTCGGATCGCCTACGGCCCCGCGGGAAACCGTGCAGCTGGATGTCCGCGCGGACTTCTCGGCGCCGACCCCCTCTCTCACTGAGTTTCTCGCGCCGTGAACACACGCCACGACCAACGGTGTTCGGCACTCGTCGGGCCCTGGGGCCCTTTCTGGGCCCCAGGGCCCTCAAAGAGCGGGCCTGTCGTGGGGAGAGCGTCGGGGCTTTGGACACGTGAACGTTTCTTTATTCATTGTTTTGCCGATCGTCGCGGACCCTCGCACCCCCCATGGAGTAGATCTTGGCTGTTTTTGGTGCCTGTTTCAAGCAGGTGGAGCCTTCCCCATCATAGGACGCTCTGTTGCAAACAGTCACACTAAGCAGAGGTCCGGAGCCAGACCCCTTCGCCCCCCCCCCCCTCCGCCCAATGTCGAAACGCCAGATACAATAGAACGTTTACAATTGAACCACTCAAGGCATCGGATGCCTGGGCTCCTCCCTGGCGCAACGCAGTGCGCCTGGGGGGGCAGCGCCAGAAGCGCTGCCAGGGGGGTCCAGCGTTGATCTCAGGGGCAACGTTAGGGGGGGGCTGGCCACATGTGAACCCTACCCCCCCCCCTCCACGATTTCTAAGGGGGGGTGGGGGTTCCCTTCGTTCGGGAACTCCCGAGCGGAGCGAGCCTCTACACCCCGCCCCCTTGGAAATCTTGGGGGTGGGGGTAGGGTTTACGTGGGGTCACCCATCGGGGGGGGATAGGCTCGTGGGGGGGTGTGCATCGACCCCCGATCGCCCACGTGTCGCTGAGAGGGGCCCGATTTAGCCCACCCCGCTCAGGAGCGCACGGCT